CGATGTATAAAAAAATGAGCTGATTTCTCAAGCTGGACCATGGTACCAGACACTGTCTCCACTGCCCACTATACCCCACACAAAACCACTCCTCTACCTAAACCCTAGCATGCCAGGCATGTAATCATAAGGGTTAAGAATGTAAAACAGACTTAGGAAAATTTCTCTCTGACTAAGAACTATTCAGGAGAACATTTTTAGCTTCTATATAATGTTTCATTTGAACCAGCTAAAGAATATCAATGCAGTGGATGTTAAATAAGAGTATTTAGAGACCCCTTAGATGAATAAGACACTTTTAAAATTTAGTTATAACTAGTATAAATATTTAGGAAATATTTGTTGCTGATACTGTCTAAATAATTAACATTTAATGTTAAGTGGTATTGAAATTTCATCAGCAACTATGGATTGCAGCTTTTTGTACTCACCAATCATATTTAAATTCCCTGTTGATCTTGTTTAAACATTGCATAGATTTAGCAAAAGATAAAATCATAATGACAGACAAGGAACAGATTTTTGTCTAGCTGCGAAATGTAATCATTGAATCATATCATGTAGTCCATGGAAACAGATTATTAGTTCCATTGAATGAGTATTCCAAACATAGCTGAATTCTGTTTTCCTGCTCAGTGCTTTTACTCTTCAACATTTGTGTATTTCAATCAATTGTTTCATTACATTTAAAGAATTTATGGATTCTGCTTTATGATGATTTATGGTAGAGAATTCTCCATCATAGCCACACTCCATATTCAGAAAATTGTCTAAACTTTAATTCTTTTGTGACTGTCTTAAGTTTGTAACCACTCATTAATATTTTTCTTCTACATAACTCCCTAACGTTTTCAGATAAACTGAAAAAACAAACAACCTTTTAAGCCTGCTTGCAGCATATCAGTGAATCTAGCAAAATCCTTACACAAATTCAATATCCCCCTTTACTTTTACTCTGTCTGCCCCTGGAAGTAAGATCAAGGAACTCATTTGCCTTCTTTTGTCCTTTACTACTTGTAATGCCATTTGATTGTGTCTGCATACCCTGGTTGCTCATTTCTCTACTCTATGTAAAATCCATTGTTTAAGAAAATGATGAGGTTGGCAAGACTTGTAGTAAATGAAAAAGAGCCAAAGATACATTTTCTTTACCTTACATAGAGTGATAAGGCGGTACTTATTACCCAATTCCAAGGATGTTAAAATCCAACCACATCTAGCAGCACAGCAACGTGGGGACAAAAACAGGCCATTCAGTCTGTTGGACCTGCTCTGCCATTCAGTACGATCATGGATTATTGAACACTTTCATGCCTTTTATTCACCTTGTATGCCTCATTGATGATTTGTTTTGGTGGTAGATTACAAATGATCAGTTTGATAAATTCAATTTTGCCAATTAACATGGTGGGATTTAAACTCTCCACCTCCAATTTGTCAAGCAGCTGTACTCCATTCTATTGTTACTCTGTGACTTGTTCTTATTACAATCAAAAATGCCTCTTAAGTATTGAGGACTGTGAATATATTGTAAAAATAAATCATAAAATCATGCAGTTTTATCCGGAAAGGAATTGAAATGCAAATGAGATTTGAACTCACTTTTAAAAATAAAGTTATGAGGAAGAAGACCATGGTTTGGATAATAATAAATAGATTTGTATCAGACTGAAAGTAAATTCTGCAACATCCTGTTTATTAACTGGATCCTGCCAATAGCTCTATTTTGACCAGTTATGTTCACCGTCTCTATATTAGGAGTGCCTAATATATCAGCTCCACATTTGTTCAGTGAAATGTGTGAGTTGCCAGCAGGGGTCAAGCTGAGTCAATGCTGGCAGCTGGATTCCCTCCTGTTAAATAAGAGATGTCAGTGGAGGTTGGGTCAGGGTCCAATACACAGACTGGACCATCAGTCACTTCAGACAAACTATATAACAAGGCCTCTCAGTCTGTAAACCCAGGATTAACAGTACTATAATTTTTAAAAATTCAAAATCTTGGAGATGCTGGTTGTCTGAAATTAAAAAATAGAACAAATGGAAACATGCAGCAGATCAAGCAGCATCTGTGAAGAGAGAAACAGAGTGAATGCTACAGGTCACTAATCAGCAGCTCAGATGAAAGGTCATTCACCCGAAACATTAATTCTGTTAGTCTCTCCATAGACACTCTCTAGACTTGCTGAGTATCTGCAGAGTATTTTCTGTTTTAATTTATTTGGGCATTTACAATATCTTGTGCAGCACAACTATCAAATTAATAAATGATTCGCTAGTTGTCTATCTGGAAGAATGTGGAATGAGCATTGTTCTTGGTCAATCAGTTTATTGCCATTCCCATTTACTGCATATGTTGAATGAAGCTAATTGAATGGATGAAAAAATCATTTAAATCATGACGATTAAATGTAATTTAAAAAAATATGAGGCTATAATGGAGCTGTATATAATGTTAGTTAAGCCAATGCTGGAGTACTGTGTGCACTTCTGGTTAACATATAATAGAAAGGTTTTGATTGCACTTTTGAGAGGGTGCAGAAGAGATTCACCAAAATGTTGCCTGGGCTGAAGTGGTTCAGCTATGAAGAGAGACTAGATAGGCTGAGGTTGTTTCACTCAGCGCATCATCATAGAAGCATCACAGAATCCCTACAGTGTGAAAACAGGCCATTCAGCCTAACAAGTCCACACCACCCCTCTGAAGAGCATCCCACCCAGTCCCATTCCCCTAGTCTAACCCACCTAACCTAGGGGCACTATGAGCAATTTAGCAGAGAAGGCTGAGTGGGAATCTGAATGATGTGTACAAAAGTTATGCTGGACAGTTGGGGAGAAACTTTTCCCCTTAGCAGAGGCGTCAATAACCAGGGGCACAGTTGTAAGGTTTGGAGCAGGAGGTTTTGAGGAGGATTTGAGGAAACAAATATTGACTCAGAGAGTACAAGGTGTAGAGCTGGATGAACACAGCAGGCCAAGCAGCATCAGAGGAGCAGGAAAGCTGACGTTTCGGGCCTAGACCCTTCTTCAGAAAAAGGGTCTACTATCTTTGAGTCAGACAGTTGTGTGTAACTGGAACCTCACTGCCTAAAAGGATGGTAAAGACAGGAACCCTTGAGACATTGAAGAACTATTTAAATTAACAGCTGAAATTGGGGATGGCATGGTGGCTCAGTGGTTAGCACTGCAGCCTCACAGCACCAGGGACCCAGATTCGATTCCAGCCTCGGGCAACTGTCTGTGTGGAGTTTGCACATTCTCCACATGTCTGCATGGGTTTCCTCCCATAGTCCAAACATGTGCAGGCTAGGTGGATTGGCCATGCTAAATTGCCCATAGTGTTCAGGGATGTGTAGACTATAGGGGGATGGGTCTGGGTGGATGCTCCAAGGGTTGGTGTGGACTTGTTGGGCCAAAGGGCCTGTTTCCACATTGTAGGGATTCTATGATAAATGACATAGGATACAAGACTATGGGCAAATTGCTGGATTAGAATTGATGGATGTTTGATGACTGAGCTAAAAGGCCGCTTTCAGTGCAGTAAAAACTCTACAACTACACTAATAAAGAAGAAAATGTTGTCAAACAATTGAAACAACCTTTCTTAAAGATGATTTTGCATTTAAAGATTACATTAATCTTCACAGTTTTGTCAGAACCTGTTCCATATCTTTTATGCTTCTGACCATCAGTTTAGATGAATCTCTACCTTCTTTCTCTTTCACCCTTAATTTCAGTGTTTCCAACCAGTGTACAGATGAATTCAACCTGACCAGTCAGTAATGAATGTTTAAACTTTATTCAAATTTATTACCACCGTCATCCCATATCTGTGTATTCTCTTATCTTTCATGCACCTGTCTGGTCTAATCTTGAATGAGGGTGAACTTCCCACTCCTTTCTCTTTCCTTGAAGACAGAGCCACAGAAAGCTAGAAAGAAACAAAGACCATAAGACGTAGGACCAAAGTAGACACCGTACATTTCTGTGGGGTTTCAATGAGTCCTCTCGCACATGACAGAATTCCACACAGAAATAATTCACGCTCAAAATTTCTGTCTCAGTCACCCTTGTGAATTCTTCGGTCTCACACCATGTGCCAAGGAATTGATTTCAGTTGTTTCCCTACAACAATTTCACATGGTGCCTTTAACATGGGATAACGGAAACAGCATATCCGTTTGCGAAAGTTTGCGTTTCCCGTGTACTGCACAAGTTGTTCTCATCTTTTTTTATGTCACCTTTCTACAAATGGGGATGGGGAGGAAGGTGGGAGTCGCTGTTCTTTAGCAGTTGGAGCCCTGGTAATTCAACCTGGACAGCACGTTTCTCTTAACGTGTGTTATAAACATACAACAGAAAATAAACACAGGGTTTCTTCCGCTTTTTTTTCTCTCTGGTGGCGTGGTTTAAACTCCTTAATCCTTTTGAAAGGCGAATACATGATCTCTCCTGGTGAAAGAGCGAATTCCATCTGTTTGCAGGAATTGGGATATGAAACCAGGAAATGGAGGTCGCCTGAGGGAAAGCTTGCACCGAGCTGTGATAACTGACTGACACCCTGTGCCACCCACATTGACAGATGGTGCATCCCCCTTGCTACTCACAGTGACCCGGCTCGTTTGCACGGAACCAGAAATCTGCCCCTGCTTTAATTTCTCGCAACTTTACCGAAGAAGTTTTCATCGACGCAGCATCCTTTTCTTTTGTTTAGTATATATATATATTTAAATTTGCATTAGGATGAATGCAGCCTTTTGAAACAAAAACTGCAACTGCAATCATTTTTAATCCGTCTGAGAGGGTCTTGCAATTGGCCACAGCCGAAGGAAAAACGATGCTGGAAAAGATAGCGAGCGGAGAGATGCAAAGGGACTGACTTGGTAAGGAACCAATTGGAAGAGCAAGCCCTCCTCCCCGTGGCTCTCTGTGGTACAGTCTTGGCTAGCACGCTATTTAAACGGCAGCTTTACAGGCTTCACCATTCAAAGCAATCAGCCTCTCCACATTGAATGGTCTCCTTCAGAGACCAGACCACAACCATCTCCTCTTTTAACTTTTTGCAAAAAAGTTTCCCCCTCCTCTGAAACTTAGTCATCTTGTCGCTTTCTTTTCTCTTCTCCCCAGCTTGCCCTTGAGAAAGCAAACCACCCCCCCTCCCTATACAACACCCCTTCCAAAACAAAAAGAGAATAAGGAAATTAGACCCCTGTTTCGGTCAGGATGCGGTCTGTTTTTGCAGGTCGCGCTTGCCTTTACTGCATGCTGCTGTTTCTGGTTTCAGGGAACACGGTGGATATCAATGTGGTAGTGCTGCTGCCAGTGGAGAGCTCCTACCTGTTCTCCATGAACAAGATCAGGCCGGCTATCGACTACGCCATCCAGAACCTGGCGGAGAGCCGGCTGAACTTCAGCGTGCGCTACCTGGACTCGGAATGTGGCAACAAGGCGCTCTTTCACTTGGTGGACATCAGCATGCTGCAGAAACCTGATGTGATCATGGGGCCGGTGTGTGACTACGCCGCTGCTCCGGTCGCCAGGCTGGCGTCCCACTGGAACATCCCCATGGTATCGGCCGGCCCTTTGGCCACGGGCTTCGTGCACAAAGTGCCCGAGTATTCCTACCTGACGCGGGTCTCCCCGTCCTACTCCAAGATGGGCGAGATGTTCTTGGCCATGTTCCGGCGCTACAGGTGGAAGAGGGTGGCTCTGGTGTACGCTGAAGATTTTGAGGAGAGGACCTGCTTCTTCACCATAGAGGGAGTCCACGTCGCCTTTGTCGGGGAAGGCTACGAGATGCATTCTTTTACAATCTATGATGAGGAGGATCATTTCGACCACATCGTGCAGCAGATCCAGGAACATGCCCGGAGTGAGTGTACTTTTTTAAAGAACAACTTTTTTGCAAAATCCATGCGTTGCTTTGCTTGTTGCCGTTTGCATATTTTTGTTTCCACCGTTCCCTTCATTGCAGACCAAAAAGTGACTTTGGGTAAAAGTATACTTTCCGGAAACAGGCTAAAACCCACCTTTGATCCTTTCGAACACGCACAGATAGCACGGAGGCGTGTAAAGGTAACATGGGGTCAGTCGGTTTACACTGTTTCCACTGTAGCAAAAAGAAAGGAGCTTAAGTAGAAGGTCAGATTAGGTGAAGGGATACAGTACTTGTATAAGAGCAGCACAAATAAACATGTCAACCCCTGTCTCAGACATTTCCCAGGTAGACGGGAGACCAACAGACTAAAAAGGCTGGAAATCAGTCGAGAATTTCGGCAAAGTCCGTCAGATAAGGAACACGGATAGCTAACATTTCTGAGGTGTAGCGTTACAGGGCGAGGGTGAGATGTGTTGGGCTGAGCTAGCCCAGCGGCTCCATATCAGTACAGTATAAATACAATTACCATACAAATTCAACGAAGTATTAACTCGTTGGTTCAATGCAATAAATGCCTGGGATGCCAGAAAGGAGCGTGGGAGCAGAAATAAGACAACGTGAGACTGCCTACTCCAAGTGAATCTGCGTACCCCTCATTTCAAAGACATCTTGTTTGTTATTGGGGTGAGACGAGAAGTCAAAATCTCGCCCGTCTCACTGGAAGTGTTTGGGAGCAGAGCAAGGGTGTTAGCTTGGTGACCTGGCCAATGTTTATTCTTCAATCAGACATTACAAAAACACAATCTTCGATCGTTATCACGTTGTTTGTGAATAGTTGCTGTTCACAAGTAGACTGTGCTTTACGTGATGGCTACACTTAGGAAGTACTGTCTGATGATCATGCTATATAAATACAAGTCTTTTCACTTAAATCACGGAACATTACCTGTTGCTTATAACGGGCAGTTTTGATATCTTTGTCTACATCTTATTCCAGATAAAGGTTGTGCATTAACACTTATTTATTCAATGATTTCAGCTATGCTAGTTTGCTGGATACTCTTTAAACAAGGAGGGATTAAAGTTATAATCCTCACCAAAAATATACCTTGCAAAAACTCAGTATTTAGGAAGAGTGATTCCAGTTTGCAATATCTACAGTACTGCGAATGCAAAACGTATGTGAGAATACAATCATATTACAAATCAAAACTGACAACGTATTTACCTTGACTGATCAAGCACAGTTAGCTCTTTATCTGAAAATTCATTGATATTCAAGCAAATCACTGGCTGTAAAGAGTTTGTCAAAACTGTTGCAGTTAAGTGTAATAACAGATTGGGTCCAGCTGGTTGGACTTGACTGGAGTGAGACTGACCTTGCTGTGTATTATACTTGATTTAAGACGAGCTAGAATGTTTAGTGTTTACTTTTATTTCTGGGCTCCTGTAAAACTTGTGACATGCAGAATGTGGCTAATTGTGGTCAACAATACAGTCTTAATTGGGAAACAGCAGAACATAGATTCAAGCTGATAAGGAAGGCTGAAAAGCAGGATTTGAAATATCAAAGAATCATTTGTAAAGAAAAATGATCACAAGGTAGAGAAGTACTCAGAATATGCATGGAGGCCAGAACAAATATGTGGAGGGGTAATACAACAGCATATTTTCTTCGCTGTTAATATTATCAGTGCTTTCCCAGTTTTACAGAACAGCAACTAAACCTAGAGTCATAGAGCAATACAGAATCAAACAGACCCTTCAGTCCCACTTCATGCCAACCAGGTATCCTAACTGAACTAGTCCAATTTGCCTGTATTTGGCCCATATTCCACTAAACCTTTCCTATTCATGTACCTATCCAAATGTCTTTTAAATATTGTAATTGTACCTGCCTCCACTACTTCCTCTGGGACATCATCATTGTTTTAAAGATAATTGAGGGACCTCTCACCTGCATTAAATAACTGAGTTAAATTCATCTAAAGGTTCATCCGTAACATATTGCTTTGCTTTAATCCATTGTAGTGAACTTTGCACAAAGTAATACATTTCACAGAACTCAGACTTTCTAATATTGTTTTATTGTGTAAATTTGGATTGACATGATATATATATCATACAACCTCAACAAGGAGTTAGCTAAAGTTGAAAATTTATTTTATCCTAAAGTTGCTCAAATTGAGATAAATGTGAAATCATGATTGTTGTGTTGTTAAATATTTTCAATTAATCCAAATATTGTTAATTTCTTCATCTTTAAATATGTTTGTCACTCTTCTACTTTGCACATTTTGCAAACCTGAGCTACAAAACTTCAAAAGTCCAAACTCTTTTGACCGCATCTGAACTAAAAGAGTGTTTAACCCACTCATTTTCCTTTCACTGTAGGTAGCAGACGGACTTTGTTCCATTAATGTTGCGTGAAACCAGTGTTAAATACTGTTTAAAGGTCCATTTGCTAAATTTGCTGGATGGCTGGTTTGTGATGCAGAGTGATGCCAACAGCACAGATTAAATCCTCTCACTGGCCAAGGTTACCATGAAGGTCCTGCTTTGTCAACCTCACCCCTTGCTTGAGGCCTGGTGACTATCAGGTTAAACTGATGTCTATTTGTCTCTTTCGCTGTCTCTCGTAGCCCTCTGGGACTTTGGTGACTTTATATTTAAGTCAGCAATGGATGAAAGATCACTAAACTTTAGTGCCAATTATAATTAACTTGTACTACTAATATCTGGCCATACCACTTATAAAGCAAGTGCATTCAAACTCTAACAGGTACTGAAAGTGGCTGTAAAAGACAGACTGAGCATGACAAGCAGCAGACAGTGTTGTAGCTGGGCAGAGAGGACACATCAAGGTTCTCTGCCCAGCATTAGAGGAGTCATTGTTGGAGGTGGAGAGAGGTCATTTATTCATTGAGTATCAAGAGGCCCTGCCCAGGCAGCCAGTGTGAAAGCAATGGAAGAAGATAGTTGTTGCATTGATTGCCAGCAGTGTATCCCCAACAATCTGGATGTACTGCTGTCAGAAATTGAATTACTTCACCTAAATGATCAATGTCAGATGCTATATACTTACAACTGAACCACTAGCCTTGTACACTGCTTAATTCACTGTCAGCCTACTCACTCACCTATAATGATTTCTAATAACCACTACTGGTACTTCACATTCATATCTTTGCCTCACCATCACATACTTAGCATGACTACTACATTGCGTAATTTGTACGTTACCAGTCGTTGCACCTCACTCTCTGGCACACTTCCCTCTCCTTTGCAGGACAAGAGGGTGCAGTCGCCCTTGGCTGACAGGAGCAGGCATGGTTGTACATCTTTACTGTGGTGGAGGAGATGGTTGTCGCCATCATTGGAGGTAGTGGGGCTACTGGTTGTGCTGAAAACTTTGAAGGTGGCAGTATGCTCATCTCTGATCCTCCTTCTTGCATCTTATTTATTCCTTATCCAACAATCTCTTTGGATCTACCAGCACTGAATGCTATAAGCATGCACATTTCTCTCAACACAACGATAGCCTGTGACTTTCTCCTTTAGGATACCTAAAACCAGCGACTTGACCAGACACTCATTGAAGAGCAAGAAGTGAAAGATGTACAAGAGACTAAAGAAAACACTGTCACTCCATTTCATACTTGCATGTGAACTTAGAGTTAAAATCTGGACAGGATGAGGTGAGGTGAGAGTGACAGCCCTTGATATCAAGGCTGCATTTGACTGAGTGTGACATCAAGGAGCTCCAGCAAAACTGGCATCAATGGGTATCAGGGCAAACTCTCCGGTGTTTGGAGTCATAACTGACATATAGGAAGATGGTCGTGGTTGCTGGAGGTCAATCATCTCAGCTCCAGGCCATCTCTGCAGGAGTTCCTCAGGGTAGTGTCCTCGGCCCAACCATCTTCAGCTGCTTTATCAATGACCTTCTCTCTGTCATAAGGTCAGAAGTGGAATTGTTTGCTGATGATTGCACAATGTTCAGCACCGTTCGTCACTCCTCAGATACTGAAGCAGTCCATGTTCAAATACAACAAGATCTGCATAATATCCAGGCTTGGGCTGACAGATGGCAAATGACATTCATGCCACACAAATGCCAAGCCAGGAACATCAGCAATAAGAGACAATTAACAACCACCCCTTGACATTCAACGGTGTTACCATCACTGAATTGACATCCTGGGGGTTATCATTGACCAGAAACTCAACTGGACTCACCACATAAACGCAGTGGCTACAAGAGCAGGCCAGAAGCTGGGAATACTGCGGTGAGTAACTCACCTCCTGACTCCTTAAAGCCTGTCCACCACCTACAAGGCACAAGTCAGGAGTGTGATGGAATACTCCCCACTTGCCTGGATGAGTGCAGCCTCAATAAAACTCAAGAAGCTTGACACCATCCAGGACAAAGCAGCCCGCTTGATTGGCATTACATCCACAAGCATTCACTCCCTCCACCGATGCTCAGTAACAGCAGTGTGTACTATCTACAAAATGCACTGCAGAAATTCACCAAAGATCCTCAAGACAGCACCTTCCAAGCCCACGACCATTTCCATCTAGAAGGACAAGGGCAGCAGACATATTGGAACGCTACCACCTCGAAGTTTCCCTCCAAGCCACTTACCATCCTGACTTGGACATATATTGCTGTTCCTTCACTGTCACTGGGTCAAAATCCTGGAATTCACTTCGTAATGGCACTGTGGGTCAACCTGCAGCAGGTGGGCTGCAGTGGTTCAAGAAGGCAGCTCACCATCACCTTCTCAAGGGCAACAAGGGATGGGCAAGAAATACTGGCCAGCCAGCGACGCCCACATTCCACAAATGGCTAGAATAGACCGTGGTGAGGTACATGAGTAACCCACAGCCAGGCAGGGTAACTGTAGTTTAGGTATCAGCTCATTAGAGCAGAAAGTTACACGCATAACTACTGCAGAGAATACAGTTGAAGATTTCAATAGGATCATGTA